AGTTGTCAATAGATGGCGCCACCTCCGCGGCGCTAGTGTTTCTTACCCCGTAAAACAGAGAAATTTTCATTTGCGAAAAAATCTAATTTAACGAAATGAATTGTGAACTTTTGTGATTATATTACCATAATTAGACTCTTAGCTTTCTTTTCATACCCCATTTGACTCGTAAAATGCAGAAATAAGTATTTTTATAAATAATTAGTACCTCTGAGTTACCGCTAGATGGCGCCACCATGCCCATTTTCTGACAGTTCGCACTAATTACGAAAAAAACCTAATTAAAAGGATTAATTTACGAACTTTTATATATGCTTCCTTAAAATGAGTATCCCCGCTTTCTCTCTATGTGTGTTTCGTCCTAGAAAAACGTGTGTGTAAAAAGTCGAATTTTTTTTTCAATAGATCGAAGGATGTCCTTCTCGCACACTGTTGCTTTCCTTGTCTAGCGTCATTAGCGTGCGACAAGGACAGAAATGTGTGCGCGATAGACAAGGATAGCAATAGTGGTAGGCAAGGACAGACTTATACGCGTGGTAGACAAGGAGAGCAACAGCGTGTGACAAGGATAGACATATTTGCGCGATGGACAAGGAAAGCAATAGTGGTAGACAAGGACAGACATTTTTGAGCCATTGACAAGGAGAGTGTGCAATAAGGTCAGACATATGTACGAGGTAGACAAGGAGAGAACAGCGTGCCACAAGGACAAACATATTTGTGCAGTAGACAAGGAGAGCGATAGTATGCGATAAAGACAACAATATAAATTAGTTCCACCATTTCATCGCTACGCGACGCTAGTATTTCAATGCTTCCAGCGGTAACCACATCAAGTGTTTCCTTGATGTACCAATTCCAAAGACATGAATATTGTAAATTGTAAGTGGATGCTGCTTAGCTACGGATCAAGTGCGATCTTTAGGTTAAGCGTGCAGTGTGCGAAACACCTTTAGGGTGGGTGCCTTTTCTTGGCCAAACTTGAAATTCCTAATAAACGGAGCGTCTGAGGTTAGGAGTTGCCGACATTAGCCCTATTGATGAATCTGGCGGTGACTCTGAGACGACACTCCACCTTCTCTATCCTTACATTATACGTAAAATCATCCGCTACAGAAATTTCACCTTTAATACCTTCTGATGAATTGCAAATTGTATATATATTTTCAGTTATATATAGCTGTACCTATGTACAAAAATGAAAAGTCCCATGCAAAGGAAGCAGTTCCTTTCAGTAACCGACCCACTAGATTTTTTGTTCTGTGTGACACTCTCAACTAATAGCTATTTTTAAATTGAAGAATGGATTGGAAATAACCAACCAGACCCACGTTCTTTTCAGGAAACTTCTTATCTCTGCACGACACGTGTTGATGCAAGTATAAGTCATCGTTTTGAATCTTGAGATTATTGAGTTATTACAGTTGAATTCGGTAAGAATATATTTAATTTTATATAAAATATAAAAATAATAATATATCAAATTTTATAATTTGTTTTGCTTTGGGGATTACGAGAGAAATGATTGTAATTATAGAAGATGAGAAACTAATTTTTTTTATAGAAAGAATCATTTATGGTGNGAGAGAAATGATTGTAATTATAGAAGATGAGAAACTAATTTTTTTTTATAGAAAGAATCATTTATGGTGATTCACTTGATTGCTATTTTATGTCTAAACGAGTTCAAATATGTTTCATTGCATTTGTGGTATTAACCTTTTTAATCTCTCCTCGTGAAGATAATTTTCTTTCTTGAATACATTTGATACGAAGTATCCTCGCGTGTACAAAGTAATTGTTCTTTTAATTGGGCCCATGGCCTGTCGTCAGTAGGTTTTAGCAATTTCTTTTTTCATGTTTTCCTAGGTGGGTAGCACCTGAATTATCACACCAAGTTAACTACTCTACATATATAGAGCATAATAAAACATGCCACAAGACAAAACCAATTGAGCCTTGTTAACCAAGTTAATTATAATTCCATTGTAATTTTTCGAAACACCGAAATGTTTTCAGTTTCTTTTATCATTTATCAATCACTTGTAATTTTATTGAATGAAAATTAATCACACCTGTGTATAAAATATACAATAAAATAAAAAATAAAAAAACAAAAAAATTACTAGGAAAATAATTGAAAAGATATAAAAAATATTTTTATTTGAAGAAAGGAGAAAGAAATATTTCGTTTTTTCATATCTTGTTACCTGATCAGGAAGTCCTCCTCCATTTCCAATCACATTAGTCGCATTAAAAGTCGGACAGTTTAATGGCACGGGTGTGTTTATGTGTCGTGTAAGAACATGACCTGTTTTCGATTCAGACCAATGCAAACTCGCATACTTAGCGTCGGTCGTCTAGCCACAATCGTCTAGTCATTCAACTTCGCGTCACAATTAAGGATCCTTTTGTGCCATGTCAAACGACCTGTTATGCGCCTGTTACGTACAATAAGCACGTTTAAATTTATTGAGAATGAACTCGTTCACTGTTCGTTAAGACATCTCCGTTTTGAGGAGGTGTCTTTGAGTAATTGAAATCAAACGTTTTCAGTTACTTCATTGAAGAGAACTGATCTGTCAGGATGTACTCCCAAAATCATAGATTATTCAAACGATTCGTTCCTTTAGAATATTATCTCAATAAGAATATTTAATTCTTTTGCTACTGAAGTCGTTGCAATTCATTTCATTAAAAACTACTCTAATGAATCATCAGTCAATTTTAGATTATGTGTAATCACGTTTCTACATGTACATATGTTGCGTTATTTTCTGATTTAAGTGTTATTTTGAGATGTTTTAATATCGACAGCAATAGCAACCAATTTCGTAAGACGTATACACACAGTTAGCCATAAAACTTGCAATTTTATTGTACATAGTGACTCATAACTAATACGATCATTGGTTTTCTTATATTAAACGAATGAAAATTTCTTTAAACAAATGTAAAAAACATTGACAGTATTTCAAAAATCGAATTTTAATTAATGAATTAACGATTGATAAATTAAAAATAAAACAAAATACCTTTTGTTTTATACAGAAAATAATTATTTATGATCCCTTCATTCTTTCATAACAAAAAGTCGGAAATCTATTACATAACGTTCGACAGAGAAATGCTTTCAAACTAGGACACAAGTCACGCTCGAAAAAACTAAGTTTTCGTTCCATTTGAGAATTACTTTGCAAGCTGGCGCGAGAAATAATTCCATAAATCATTTGCTTAATCAGATTGAAATCTGCATAAACAGGAAATAATTGATAACTGGAACTGAAATTAAAATTCGATGTTGTTGAGTCAACACGTGTCCTTTCCATTAATTTGCAAAGAATTTCATGAAAATTAATTTACATTAATGTTACTAATTAAATTGCAATAAATTGTATCAACTTTGAAAGCATCGCCTCGTACTTGTAGATAAAAATATTGATTCTAACACGAGAGAATAACATGAACGACCTTGATGGTGTCCATGACCCTCCGCCCACTATATTTCCTTACAACGTCGAAAAAGAAACGCGTCCCAACGATCGAGCTGTACATTTCCTTTTCAAAAATTCATCGATTTCACAATATACGGTCATGAAATTCATAAAAGCCGGTAGCTCACTGTGGGTCGGACTAATTACATAATTGTCAGAACAATGTAATAACAGGCAAAGGTCGAAGACACGCTTAAGACCATCCCGACAATTAAAATTCATCGTTAATTCTATCATCGTTAGAATGGAATAATTCAGAAGAAAATTGATAAATATGCAGTATCATGGGAAAGTTATGTGGTCTTATTTTAGATATAGAAGAAAATCAATCATCACGGAAGATATACCTTGCAATAAAATTGGATCCCTAGGAACTAGCTCAGAACTCGATTTCTCACTTCAAACGAACTCCCAAACGTAGAACGCGCACACATAGATCGGATATGAGTATCTTCTGCAAAAGAGAAAACGAAAAAATGCGCAGACCCATTTATCTGGTTAACCTTGGCAGCAATCCGACTCTGTCCAATGTTGAATGGAATAACAAATACCCGCTTGTTTGCAAGATGATCTGATTTGATTAATAATACATTGAGTAAATAGTCTATTCCTGTTGCTTCCTATGAATTATCCGAATTAGTTAAATTTTCAGAATTGTTGTCCAGCAACGATTGAAATAAGATATGGCTAAAACAAGATATATGCGTTATATAAAAATGCGTGATATATAAATGACGGCTAACTGAAAAAAGAAATAGAAATTACTATTTTCGCGGTTAATATTAAATGTGCAATTAATTATGATTGCCTTTCCGAATTTCGTGAAACGAAAAAAATACCTCGATATTAACGAAAGGCACGTTTGACATATCCAGTTCGATCATGCGAGCATGTAGAATGAAATTTGAAAATTCGTTCGGTCTTTTACGCTCGTAGCTTGATGACTTTCTTCAATATTAATGCACAATTCTTCCATCGAGAGATTTATTAAGAAAACATTGTCCTCCAACAATATCTCGTAGTTTCCAACATTTATTGCCATACTTCCTAAGAAAATATATAGAGATCTTCTTAAATTGAAACTCACCTAAGGAATCGTAATCGAACAACTTGGTCAGTTAATAAAGTTCGTAAAAGGAGGAAAAGTTTGCCGCGTCGAGCATCGGTTTATAAAATATATATGACGAGAAGCTCCGCAGAAGGAATAGAACTTTTAATTTTGCCGAAAGAATACTAAATTGCTACTCTTACGAGAAGCGTATTCTTCTCGTGTTCAACAATTTCACGCACATGGACGTGTCGTTTCCTATCACCCATACATACAAACGTGTCACTGATCCTCACTTGCGGTACGCTTATCCAATTACAAATCTCGCAAGATGCTGTTGCAGAAATGCTACCGAAAGATACGTACGTTCACAGACGTGAATCGTTATTTTCTGAAAAACATTGAAAAAGAAATTAGACGACAAGATGTCGAAATCTTTCAGTAATTAATTCTACATCTATTAATACTTCGAACAAAGATAATCTCGGTCGTGATAAAAACATTTAAAATTCAATGATCAATTTAATATCCATTACAATCGAGGGATTTTTTTATGATCTCAAATCTTTGTTTCGAAGTTATACTTGATCTTTGGACAGTAAATATTTTTATACGCCCAGTGATCAGATTTTATTCGGCACAGTATGTTCCTTTTTCTACGAACCTGGGGACAAGTTCTATTTATTAGATATCTCTTTTATGGAATATTTTAACTCTCCAAGTTACTCTAGTATATGACAATCGAAGGGAAAAAAATATTGCTAACTAATCATTTTATAATTGCACCATTTCTTTCCTCCTAGGTTCAAGTGACCCTGTTAGCACCGTCCAAGGATTAATCAATTATAATTAAATAAAACACTAAAATCATGAATATATAACATATAATGTCGATTATCTTCTTCGGTTTACCACTACCACCATAACTTACAGCCGCGTCTATCCCACCTCCACCGTCGCGGTATCCCCGTGTGTCACGAAAAGGAACTCAGTTACGCGCCACGGGGTTGAGAAGTCGGACGTGTTCCCTGGACGCGTGTTCTATTCACGCTTAATTTTCGATTTAACCCGACAGTTTTAAAAAGACCGTGACAGCTCGCATTGATTGCTGACCAATTAGTGGATTGTTCGAAAAAAAAAAAAAAAAAGAAAAAAGGCGCGCGGTGTCATTGATTGACGTTGATTGGTTAAATGAAGATCCGTGTCGCTCTGATTGGTTGCCGAACGAATTCGAATCGATTTTTCCGTCGAGCATTCGATTAATTGAAATTGAAAATTAAATAAATTTAAACTTGAAATTGGATACGTAGTCACTTGACACCCTTTCGCGAAAATAAGGCAAAAATATTATGCTCGAAATTTTGAAAAAAATTTGTGAAAAGAAAATTTTAGATAATGATGATGGGCAAGTGTCACGCTAAGTCTCTATAAATAAAGGTGTACGTAAAAGCTGAGACTAGTGTGTAGGTGTACATGATATTAAAATACGATTGCTACTATTTATGACGACTTTTATTGCTTTTAATTCTATTCTAGACATACTAAGCTGTATCTCAATTTTTCAACATCATCCTCAGATGTTGTTCCAAAATAGTTGATCCACAAATTTTGGACGGAGCTTGAGGATCAGAATGAAAATACGAAGATATCGATACGATTTAGAGATCGTTTCAGTATTTTAAAATAAATATCTAGGAAATTTTTCCATCCAGTTTAGTCGAAATTAAAAATGTCTGAAATTGTGTCGCGATCGAAGTGATCAATGTTGTTCCTTTCCTCGTTAATGTTTAACTTTCCCAAAGGGAAAGACCGCCGTCACATCGCAGTGAAATTAAAAGTTTAATCTATTTTTCTTGTCGAAGGCGAGCAGCTTTTTAATTGCGTCACCGTCAGAGGCAATAAAGGACAGTTCGCGGTACTGCGTCAAGTCAAATGTTTAAAAAAAATGAAGAAGTTTCTTCGCGAAAGGGCTGTATGTAATGCTTATTTGAAAACTTATGCATACTGAATGAAACTGCTGTGAAAACTCAAGGCAGAACAAAGGTAAAAATTAAGCGGGAAATCAAACGGCTGGTAAAAGTAAAATTTTTAAATAAACATAAAGGAAAAATTAAAGAGAGATTAAATCGTTATAAGGAAAAAGAAGAAATAAAGCAGAATTTAATAGAAACGATATCTAATTCGATAATCTATTAAAGAAAAAAGTTAAAAAGAACTTAATCGATTAAACTCTACGAGCCACCGTGTTCGTCCTTTTCGCGTGATTTCGGTCGAAATGAGAAAAGAATTGGTCGAGTTTTGCAAAGAAGAATGAGGGTAATTGAAAAGCCAATAAAAAGGAGCCTTTCTAATTGCTCAATACCGAAGTTTGAAAAAACAGTTTTTAAACTTACGGTAAAAACTCGTGTATGAGTCCAATAAAGAGGTAATCAAAAGCACGCGTGTTGCCGGAAGTTAGAATTACCTTCCGATGAACATGTGCCGGAAGATAGTGTCCTGTAATAAGCTTCGCAAGTGCGACATCAAGACCTGGCTGGTTTCGGAACGTTCTCTAAATGAACTTGATTGCTCACAACCTGTGACTTCCGGTCGTACTGTTTGGACGATTGATTATTTCTTGAGAAGATGTAAGTCTTCAAAGATATCTTAAATTGCTTGAGAACATATAATTACAATATTATATAATATTCATTTGTGGTCATTTTGAAAGAATTGTCGATGTAATGATAATTTTTTATCTATAATCTCCAGTCAGATATTTTGAGCTAGTCAGAAATAGCCAAATTTGGCATTTTATGCAATTAATTCTTTATCCTTGAGGAGGAAGTTCTTTATCTATGAGCCATATATTCGTTACATACATTAGAAAATTTCGAGTGAATTAATACATACCATAAAATACGTACCACACTGCGGAGACAAAGCTCATTACGTGAAAAGTGGCACAAATATCGTTAGTTGTTGCGGCACGTTCGCACAAATAAAACGACCATGCTTCCTCTTTCCGGTACGTGTTAACGTCTTTTTCTTAAAATAAGATCGATTGGTTACCAACGAGCGTGACATGGTCATTGAATAATATTTAATAGTAGCTTGGAAAAATTCTCAGAATAAATAAAGGACAGAAAATGTCGACAACTGATTTCGTTTTTTCGATTCGCTGATATGTTATCTGTCAGTTATTCCTTCTCTATATTAAAAGAGCAAGATCTATCCAAGAACTATCACACTCGCATGATACACTGAACATTACAGATATTCTGTATAGAGAAATTAGAAGAAATTCATTAAAAACGCTGAAAAAACAGTTGGTCACGCGACGCCTTGGATTTTCCATTTGCTAGCCTCGTTTCTCGTATAAATCTGTGGTAAAGAACAAAGGAATATTAATTATAGTTATCAACTTGATATATATTAACAAAAATAAAATGAATTATATAAAAATACCAAAGTAAAATCTTTGTGATCTCGACAGCCCCTGTTTCCTTTGATAAATGTGCCAGTGTGTTAATCATCAGGATTAAATCGGCGAAAGGTAGATGACGATTGCGTTAAAAATATCAGCGTTTATCGTGATGGAATTTCCATCAAATGCCAGCGAATTGGCCGATAATTTGACTGTGACAGCGGTAAACGCGTCGACCCATTCAGAACTTAATCTACCATATACGGTTTGTGAAATTTTGGTGGCGGTATGCGCGGTGTTTGGTAATGGTCTGGTGATCATAGTCTTCAGCAAAGAGAGGAAACTTCGTCGGCGAACCAATTATTACATCATCTCTTTAGCCACGGCTGATTTGCTGGTCGGATTATTCGCCATACCTTTTGCTATTTTGGCCAGCATCGGTTTACCGACGAATCTACACGCCTGCCTATTCACCGTCTCCGTGCTGATCGTCCTCTGCACGATTAGTATCTTCTGTCTGGTGGCGGTGTCCGTAGATCGTTACTGGGCGATACTTCATCCCATGGGATACTCACGCACCGTGCGCACTAAAACTGCCATAGGTAAGAATTAAGATAAGGGCGATGGCTTGAATAACTTAAAATCAGTTCAATTTCTAATTCTTTTAATAGAAAGAGAAGCAAGTGATAAAAATGTAGTTTTAAATTGAAAGATGAGCAAATAATAATAAACATTTCAAAAGATGAATAAATAGTAATTTGATAAGACAGTACCCAACAAATGAAAATATACACGGTGTAGTGGAAAAACATATTTTTCGCAAACATAAAACGAGTTGAACTCGTAAGAATTCCTTTGTTTAGTAATTTCAGGTCATCAAACTTTCTGATAAGAAAGATAGAAATGATTTCTTAATTGATCTTAATAAACGAGTTTTCAAGTTGAGGTTTACCTCAGCTTACAAGTTTTGTAATTTAAGTTAGTAGATAGGATACGATAATGCGAATTATTTCTTAATTTCTTAAAAACCGTTCCATCAATTATTAAAATCAATAAACTAATGCGCATTTTCGCGAGTATTGAATTCTATTTCTATTTCTATTTTGATACGAATATTATTAAATGTTCGATACATTGAACGAAGATAATTGAATGAAGATAGAGACGGAAGAGAACGATGCCTGAACGGAATTGCCGACACGCAAGTAGTACGAGTCGATAATTGAACAAGTCCGCGAAAAGTTCGGAGAAACGCGTGGGTAAATCGAGTAATTGTTATCCACGTCGATGCCGTTGTGCAATCCGATGATCCAATTAAAATTGCCTCTTCTTAGAAATGTTTTGCATGGCACGAATCAACCATTTAATCGAGCTGCGATAAAACAACACCGAGACGGACCGTGTAATTATATTTTGTGAAATTGTTTGCTCGAGTGCACCTGTTATTCAATTTTCCATACATCTCGAATCTTGTTATAAGAGCACGATGTGCTTACATCGAATATTTTATCTGTATTAATGTTTTGCAAAATGTGCATAATTGTGCACTTGCATGGAATGTATGATTAATAATTGAAGTGCTTTGATGTTCATAATGTTTTGAATAATAAATTACAAGTAGAGTCTTAAGCACTCAATTGGCTTTCTATTTAAATAACACACACCATGATAATTTGAATTATAAAATAGTTTAAACTACTTGTAAATAAATTTGTAGATTTTCATGCGCTTTTATGTTTGTTCAAACAATAGAATCTAAATAGAGATTTATTTCATCTATTTATATTTAATATTTATAAATACTCTATTTTTGATAGTATTTTATATCTGTATTTTCTATACACTTCGTTTATAGTATCTTTAAATGCATAAAACCAAAACCAAATATGAGAAGTTTATATGAAATTTTGTAAATGACTATTTCTCTATTGTAATGACAAATGATAATGAATGTTGATCACGTTCCGTTGCATGAGAATCAAAACGTCAATTCGAAACAGTACTCATTAGACAATATTGTGCAGAGATATCCCATTGTTATCAAGTTTTCAATCTTAACTTAATTGTAATGCTACAAAAAATACAGACAAACCTTCTGTTTTGCATTCGCGTCATCTATGCTGCTTTTTCTTAAAGAAGTTGTATCATGTTTCTTCACAGAAATGTAACAGAGTGCATCCCAGACGGCAACAGGTGGTACCTGTTCCTTGCGCACAAGACATTTTAATAACGTACATGATGGAAGTTTATTATATGTATTCCCAAGAAATTGAACTTGAAGTTAATGAATTCATCAAGTATTGAATTTCTTACTCGCAGTCGTTTAATGAATTCCCTTACTTGGAAAATTTTAATATCAGTATACATATTCTTCATAAATATTATTTTCTTTGTAATTATGTTTTATAACTTCAACTAATAATTTATAATAAATAGCAAATGATGTTTTTTCAAAAGAGAATTTTTTTTCTCTAAAATAAAATGTATTTTCTTTTTCTTTAACTTTAAATCTATTTTCTTTAACAGTCTTTTAGACAACTCGTATTCATGATAATCTTTATGCATGCAACTCACTTGTAAAAATAGATAATAACGTAATCAATTTTGTAATCAGTAATCCTCACGATAATTTATTTTATGTAATTAGTAAAAGAATTCGAAAAAATTCTGTCTGCTTTTGACAATGCTAGCATAGAATGAAATACATGTGATATAGCCATCTATTGGATTTCCCAAAGGATTTTCTTTTTTTTCCATGACAAAATTGATTCGTGTTCGCTGAGAAAGAGAACAGGTACCTGAAGAGAAAAATAAAAAGACGAAACTATAAAAAATATTCCATGTTAAAATATATAAATGTATTCCATGTAAAAAATATAGGGATTCGTTAAAATCGAACGTTGATAAAAAAAAGCATTATTAAAGTTTGTGTTTTCAACTATAATTCATGTGAAAGAGCTCGATATTCTATTGGAAAATCGAAGACAGTTGTGAAAAATTTAATGGCACGGTTAGACGTTTCTCATTTCATTAACGAGCTGCCTGACCATGATTAATTTAAACGTTTCGCCTGTTTATGGTACGAGTGATTTTAATTACGAATACGCTGACTGATACCATTTCTCCAACGAGGGAAAAGGTGCGTTTATTGCTATACTCTCTAATCGATAACGTTCACGTGCACCTCTATCATCGGCTCCTTTGACCGACTTTCATTCTCCTCTTCTATATCTGGATCTCTATAAATCTTTCCATCTCTTCCTGATGTATTTATAGAATTATTTTTCGTCAAAAACTGTGAAAGTAAAAATAGTTTCATTTAAGTTCTTATCCAATGGTAATTTATCTGGAACAATTGACAATAACGAAGATATAATTTAAAAGTTAGTTTCGTTGTTCCAGGTATAATCTGCGTGTGCTGGATCGCCGGCACACTGGTCGGCTTCCTACCGCTTTTAGGTTGGAACGCGGGCAAGAAATCTAACGAGAAATGCATCTTCACCGAAGTGATGGATTACGATTACTTAGTGTTCCTGTATTTCGCCACGATCATCTTTCCCGCGCTATTAATTGCAGCCTTCTACACCCATATATACCGAGTGGTCGTAAAGCAGGTCAGATACTTTTACTGTAAATATACACCCGACGTACATACTGTATGCACGTGAATGATATGCAAACACAGCAATGAATTAACGAAATTAACATTCTTTAATTAATCAAATAACCATGGAGAATTTGTCTTCCGTATAATGAATTCTCATGAAATAAATATACTGGATATTCTTTTTTCAGTTATCGTTACACGTTATCGTACCAAAGAAATATTCTTGCAGCTACAACAAATTGTAACAATGAATCCGTGCCGCCGTGCCGGAAACCAGACATGCATGCTGCGCTTGCTCGGGGCAGCTAGGAAGCGTGAAGTGAAGGCAACGCAGAATCTATCGCGCATCGTGCTCTTTTTCATTATCTGCTGGTTTCCACTTTACACAATCAACTGTGTGATGGCGTTCTGTCCAAGATGTAGGGTTCACGATGTCCTGATGAATTTTTGCATAATCCTGTCGCACTTGAATTCAGCTGGCAATCCGTTGTTATACGCTTATCATTTGAAGGACTTCCGTGCGGCACTTAAGAATTTCATGTGGAAGCTTTTATTTCCGCACAGCGACGTGAAATCCAGCGTGGTCAGCGTGATTCACGATCGTGGATCTTTGGTTGGCTCTCAGAGACAATTCCAGAGGCAAGTAGGGGGACTGCCATCTTCGAGGGTAGCCAGACCGAATTTATTGCGGCAGGTAATGTTTCATCGATTACCATTTACTAGACTACGGACTTTTTACGCATTTGTAAGAAATTTGAAAAATACACAAAATGAAATACTGTGTAAAAATATATAAAACATCTAAACTATATAATGCCCGTTATAATATTAAGTATGTAAAACAATTTTTTACCTAGATACCATTTTTTTTAAATTATGATCTTAAAATTATGAATTTGCATAGATATCGATAGTCTATCAAATGTGTGATCGACGAGAATAAAAGTTTTTGAACAAATGTAAGGGATAAAATGACATTTAGTAATCCCCGTTACCGTGCTTTATAGCTGTAGTCTATCATTTTCTCGGGGAATGAGATTGTCATTTTATCGTGAAAATTATTGGCACAGTGTATATCTTATCTTATTGATTGGTCTTTTGATCAACAGGTAACCGATATGAAATCAAGAGTGTCATTCTCTATTCCTCGAAACGTTTCAGTTCGAGAGAAAAACGTTGGAAACGCATCGAGCTCTTCGAGCGATAAACAGGAAAATGACAATGCGAGCCAAAACAGCAACGAACTGCAACAAAATGAAAGTGACAATTTCGGAAATGTTAAAATCGACTCGAGTGTCTCGAGATCGTCGATGGAATTACAGACTTACAAACCTTTAATACCGCTTCTTCCAGCAGAGGTAGATCACGTCGAGGAGACTCCACCGGCATCCATCTTTGTTATCGAAGTGGATGTAAATCACGTGGAGTCCGTTCATGAAAAACTTGGCGAGGAATTAACGGAAAATAAGGATAAAGGTTGATGAATCTTCCACACTTCTGATCTTGAGCAAATTCATTAAAATTGAATCCTGATTCAATTTAATCTAAAAATCGGTGAATATTAATTTCACTATTGATAATAAACTACTAATAACGATATATATGGTAATTACTTTTTGCCATAAATTATTGAAATTGCAAAATAAAGTTTCCCAGATGTGACGTATCTTTGATGTTAGTGTATTATAGTTGTATATGTATGATATTTTGAATCCTGGTGTTAATACTTCACACAAAATACGAAAAAGCATTAACTTTTAGTAAAATAATGAATATTTGATTAAATGTATTTTGAGATTACATCTTAATCGTAATGGTGAACAATGATAATTACAAAGAATGTATTTAAAAAAATTTAACCTTACAACAACCATTTTTCTTATGAATAACGAATAATTTCAAAAATAATATACGTACATTCTTAAAACAAATTTCTTAAAATAAATTCATTGTTAATGGTAATTAATCATTAATAGATATATAACATATTTGCAAGTACATATCTATAATGGGAAACAACGATCTCATATAGGTTACATTTCATGAATATGTAATTTGCATGGAAATTATGTGAAACATACATTAAGAATAGAAATGTCAATCTTCCATAAATAAATTATGTAGATGAACAAGTCAATATTAGAATTTTAAAACTAAGAAGTAATAATAAAACGATCTGTACGTAAATGTTCATTCCACATTCTGTGTATCACGCGACAACCGAAATAAATGTTACGAAAATATCATCTATATCCACTAAATCATATTACTTTTTAATAACCTAATACTACCTGACAATTCCAGCACAGAGACTACTTTATCTTGAGCACATCTTGACTACTTTATCACATTTTATTTCATTTTTTCTTTCAAACGAATTTTGTACAAACCGTTTGTACAAACGGATCACTAAACTAATTCGAATACATTGAATCAATAACACGCATGCGCTGTAACTACATTTGAAGTTACTATAACGTGCAACAGGTAGCGTTTCAAACATGGGACATAGGCAAGTTTCCCGCCAAAAGTTAGTCGATTCTCAACGTTGCATTGTGTACGATTGTTGGTCTTGTTTGGAAAATGTTTTTACCGTAAAATCAGATGCTAAACAATGGATCCATGTGAAGTCGAATTTCTCAGTGAGAAAGAGCTAGTCAGTATTGTACCGAATTTTAGTTTCGACACGATCCATTTAATCTCAGGATCAGTCGGCCCTTTTCGAGCTGGTTTACCTGTCAAAGTTCCGATATGGTTGGCAGTGAACCTGAAACAGCAACAAAAGTGTCGAATTATTAATCAAGATTGGATGGACGCTGATTCTTTGAACGAGGCAAAGGAAGAAGAAAAATTATCTAAGTGAGAAAATTTCCTTCTGATGAGATACACATTTCTTCTCTCGTATAAAAAAAAGGTATGATTTTAGATTATTTACAAAAATGCCCAGTAACCATTACATGGAGGAAGCACAGCTTTTACTGAATGTTGCAAGCGATGATATATCTGATGCCGACAGAATAAAGACGGCTATAAAGGTATTAAGTATAGTAACTATATTTTTTAATACTAATGTGTTAATTAATTTTTTAGGATATATGGGACATAAGAATGTCAAAGCTTCGTACATCAATTGATGCCTTTCTTAAAAGTGAAGGTTTACATGCAAAATTAGACCATTTAACTGCCATGGAAATCAATAGCGTTCGTCCACTATTGCCACATGCTCTGGATCAAATGCTGAGGATTCAAACTGTATGTGTATTCTATAAAATAATAAGTAAATAAAAAACAGTGTGGAATGAATTTTATTTTTTCAGGGTGGAAGAGCAACACAATCTCATTATTCAGGAACATCGCAATAAGTTGATCATTGATAATTTTTAGTTTGTAAATATAATTTAGTTTGTATATATTTATGAAATTTTCATAATGATCTTATATGAAGAAATAAAAAGGGTTGGATATAATAGAATAATGTATTCATAAAATATAATATACAAATGCGATATAATAATTTTATTATTTCTTATTTTTAGGTTCATTACATACAGTCACTAGCATCTCAATCACAATTTCTCGTTATTACTAACATGTAGTAAACTTATATTTACATCGGTAAATTTGTTGCTTTGACTAATGAACTTGCAACTCGTTTATCGCTATATTTCTTTTTTTTCACAATATTTACATACCTTAAGCTTATAATACACAGTCCTTTAATAATCTTTGATTTGAATTTTTAAGGTAGATTTCGTTATAATAAACTTACAAAACTTATAAAACAGTTAAGTTGAAGAAGTTGATCTGTTCAAATATCAGTCAGAATTTCAATCCTATATTAAGTTTGCAAATCAAATTGTCTAGTGTAGAACACATGGAAATGTATGTTACAAAATAAAAGATGAAAATAATTGGGAACAGTAGTAAAATAAACGAGTTTGATGCTATAAATGAGAAATTAAAAAATTCCGATGGTTGATATACACAATTATTCATCTTGTTCCCATTTAACTGAGAAATATATTCCTTTAAATAATTAGAGGATCGCCTGTTCATATTAAAGTATCCTAATCTTCAATGTTATATATAAAGATAATCAACATAAATATTATCAATGTAATAAAGAAACAATTTCGATCATAATCAGTATATAGTTTTCCGAATTCAGATCCCCTAAATGTTATGTAGAACAATAGGGGAAATTATTTCTTATTTTGAGTTACTTTCGTTTAGTATACTTTTAGTGCAACGACGTGTTTTATATGACGTCAAGTACTTCGGCCTATCACACAAAGTATACAATTAATAAATATCAAGTACCATTAATCGTTTACTGGTTTGACGATACGTGTAAAAGTAAGAAATGTGAATGTGTACGTGTATGTGTGTATGTTTGTTTGTTTGGAGTGTGGTGTAACAATATCGAAAGTGTTACGCGGAACGATAGTGATTGAGTTAGTATGATACAATGCATTTAAAAATACGATTCGACGTTATTATCGCTCTCAGACAGCAACTATTTTGCTGGGATCGACCTTTACCCGGATGAACATAGTATTATCTTTAACAAAATGCCGTTTTTTCACCATTTCATGAGAAAGAAATCGGGGGAAACCAAAACCGAGAGAATCAGGCTCGCGGCTGGGCCTCTGGAAGTTTTTCCATGTTGGATCTGGTATAAAACTTTCCACGATATTGCACGCCTTCTCTGCGACAACAGTCTGGTCAAATATAGTAAAGGACACGCTGTGGGAAAATGGCCATCGCAACAGAGCATCGTATTCTCCAGGAAGAATTTTTATGTATATTGAGATATGACTTCCTTCGCCAGTACCATTTCCATTTAAGAAAAGTGATGCCTGAAATATTTAACATTTCTCAGTATAATTATGTACTACATTAAAATTTTCAAAGCAGTAATTCAACTTTATTTGATGGAAGAGTCTATTTCTGAAAAGTCTTAATATTAAAACTTTAGAGTCTTTAATATGTATTTAAATATATATATTTAAATGAATTAATATACCAAAGATATTTATATATTAAAATATTGTTATTTCCAGTAATTATAAAAGCAAGAAATCTAATACTAATTATCTTAATTGGTTTGATAGTTGCTAGAGAAGAACAATTTAGAATTAATATTAACTACTGTTTACCTGTAACTTGTAACCATATTGACTAGTGTAAAAAGGAGGGCTAACGAGTTCCATTCCCTCTTTGGCTTTTGCCTCAGACATTTTGGCGCTGTAATCTGTAATCTTCCATATTAGTGTGCCTGTGTAATTTAATGATAGTTTGCTAATAGCGGATTTCAGACTGGTTATCTGGTGCTGCTGTTTTGTTACTACACTGCACATCAAACTTAAATGCATTTTTGTTGATTCTTCCAAATGCTTATCCAACGAAAATCGATTTCCCTGTAACAAACAATAATATTTTAATATCAATCGTCAAAAGGTAAGATGTAAGAGTATATAAATAATTTAAATCAATAAATTGATGTACCTTAAAACGACAGCCGGCATCCTTGAAAGTACAGGATAAGAGGTGTGTAGTGCAATGATCTTTCAAGTGGACTTCGAGATCTTCTCTTGGTAGGACGGCAGTTTCACAACGGTGTGGACAGGCAACTGGGAAGCGGCCGCACTTGGCGTGATGAGCACCGAGCGTGTCAAAAACGAACTCTTTGTTGCAGTAACGACAGGCTACCAGTCTTTTCGCGCATTCACCTAACTTGTGTTGACTGAGGTGCCTTCGCTGTACTTTCATGCCACACTTATTCTCGCAGTAGAGTGGTTCATAACCACACGTCCCTGTGTGCTTCTAAAGGAAAAAAGATAAAAACAAAAATATTAGTTTAAATAATTAAGAGTAAAAAAAAAGTAAGTTGTTTGTTTTTATACAGTGGTTCAGGAAGTAACTTTAATTGGAACATCCAGCATTTAGTATTTAAATAAGTATAAATATTGTAATTATGTTTTAACTCTGAGTATAGTTAATTACAGTTTCAAATTACATAAATATGCTCCAAAGTTTCAAGCAGGAATGAATATTTAATAAAAAATTAATATACAACATACAATATATTATGATATAATATGAATATATTTATTCATATAACCATTCCATGTATTCACAAAAAGTTTCCATATGTGTTTAAATACTTTCGACGAATCACTGTGAGCATCCATCCGCGATTAAAATATGGAAACGATGGAAAAAGAATTCCAGAAATTTCGCTCGAGCTCATGAGGATGCTTTCGCTTCCATCCGTTCCCACTATAGTAAACAGTTAACGGTTGGCACTCGAACGCGATTCTTCTAATTAATGCAGGCGGCGGTTACCTCGAGCGTGTGACCGGTGAATTCTTTGGCACAGAAGTCGCAGCGTGCTCGCCGCTGGGCGCAAGTGTACTTTAAATGGTCCTCCATCAGCACACGGGGGATCATCGCGCCGCATTTATTGCTGCAGGGGACCGCGTCGTGCTTGCAGGTATTCAGGTGAGCCTAAACAGGATATAATGCGATTTTTACATTGGTCAGACTTGAACGACGCATTCCTTTTACTCCGATCGGATCGGTTCTCCTCAGATCTACTTCGTCGTGCGTTGCGACAATCGGGTGAATGAACCGCATACCGGAGATCGAAGGAATAGTAATATATAGTGTTTACAATGGCGTGCAGAAACATTGGATTGAAATGTTTCTTCTGTGAGAATTATGTGAGGAAATTTTTTACAGTTAGTAATTTACTGATTCCTTAACAGAATTCTTTAACGAAATCGCATGATAAAAAAAAAAAAATAAATTTTTAAAGTAGGTTTTATTCGATGACTTTTAAAACTACAAAACATAATTTGAAGAAGTGTGTTAATTTTAATTCTTATTTTAATTATTAATCATTTTCCAACTATTACTCACGTAAATAATAATTGTTTAGAAAATAATAAAATTTTGGCAATAAATGAAATTTATTATGACAACTGATTACAATCCAACATTTTTATACGTCATTATATATTTAATTATATATGGCGAAATCATTAAATATTGCTGCACGTGTAGAATTATTTAAAAAGATTACAATAAATTTATTTCCAGGTCAATCTTATTAATTTATAATTTTTTCTGACAACAGGATTTCCTCATTGCTGATTACAATAGATAGAAACATGAAGCTATTAATAAGAGATTTATAACTTGTAACGCGACAAGAGGTCATGTAAGACTCGATATATTAATAACGGTAAGAAGAATCGATAATTATTCCTATAATTGATTGGAAGGCCAGCACAAGTTATCCATAAGCCGTGTGGGAGTTAACAGTGCCGGGACCAGTTCAACGACCTATCAGCGCAAGGTCGCCCAAGATCAGAAATGCATAATGAAACGATCTTGAAAGCGTATACTTGTTGAAGTAAGGATACACAAAATGTTTAGTGCGTAATTAATATTTAAGAAAACTCTGATTTTTAAAGAACTTTGTTCTTTACATATTCACAAAATGAGTAAAAGTTTCATAATAATTTAACAATGGATTTCGCCTTTGTTCACAAAGCTTTTCAATTATTTTAACAATCATTAATCTCGCTATATAAAAATGGAACATTGAGACTAATTGAAACTAACAGAAATATATATATAATATTACCTTTAACTTTCGAAGTTCGTCAGACCACTTGCAGCCATCCTTATGATGTATGCAATATACAATGGAGCCCATTATTGCCTTCTCTGCTTCCAGGTCCTGGAAATTCTGTAACACAAAAAAAGAAAGATGAGAAAAAAAATTCGTATCTATCGTTCTATTCAAGAAAACCAAATCCTATCAAATTGCTTTGGACTAACAAAAGAAACCAGATTGATGAATACAAAATTGGACAGTGCCACGGAAATTCAGTAAACAATGGTTAGTCGAATAATGTGTTCGATCTATTGGAACTCGAACGAATAGGTTCCTGAATTGTTCGGTTTCTATCGAACGGTATGGTCGAGTGGAACGGAACCTCTTAGAACAGAACGTGGGTAGCGATTAATTGGATAACAGGTAGTTGTTACTAGGCGATCCTGTCCGTAAGATGAGTATACATTGGGTCTTATGTCCAATAAAAAAGCCGTTTGACATTCCAATTATTGCCACGGTGAAATATGATAATCAATTTTCAATCACGCGACTCTGTCGCTCAGTTTTTCTATTTTACATAAGTAGGAATGTTTCAAACGTCTTAGAGTCTTCTTCTTGAAGACTGTTTTGTAATCGAGAGATGATAAAATCAGATAAAAATCGAGATAGTAGACTCTACATGGAGGATTGTCGAGATTGTTGTGTTTTATGGAAGAGTTGTAAATTTTGATTTGGACCAGGTTGAAATATCATATTAAGTGTAATATTGTACTACATTTTATAGTAGATGTTGTTGATATAAAAGATATTGTTGATGTAAAATATTTTTGGTTTCAAATATTGATCTATTGTACTTTCCTCTTCCTTCAGTAGAATAGAGAATTAAATTATTTAATTCTGTTAGATATTTCTTCGTCTGTTATATTACAACGCAATATTAAAGTAAATTATCAGAAACGTGATAAAGTTAATCCTGAAATCATTGAAGTATTATAAACTGCTTGAAGTATTATGAAATGGTACAGTGTAATATTTTTAAAGTTCTTGACATTGATTATTTATTTTTCCATTTGTTATATATTCTCAGATATTTAATAAAGTTAATTCTTTCTAAAACTTTGGGATTTATATGAACTATCACTAATATTTTTAAATTTCTCAATAACAAATAATTTCTTCTTCTTATTATTATCATATTCTATTGTTGAGATAAAATTATTCAAAATTCATTTGATCACAACTCGAAGGCTGCGAAATACGTAACTCATTTTAAACAGAGAATTAGTAATATAAACTCCGTATGTATACGAAAAGCTATTTGCTCTTGATAACGCTAGAGTAGTTGGAATTACAAAGTCATAAAATCTCGTCTTTTCTTACATGATAATAATGAAATCGTTGATATTGAACGTTCAGAAAAATTTTTTATAAGTACAAAAGTTTTTATGATAATTTTGACAGCCTTTGACATTATAGTGGAATTCTATAAAATGATTATTATAAATATAAATTCGATAATAAATCAAATGAAATTTTATAAGTAAACTTTACGTATTACAAATCATTTGATTTATTTGATTACAAATGATTATTAAATTATAAATTTATTACAACATAATTTGTAACATAACAATTTTCACTAATATTATTAGTTAATAAATTATTGTGAGACGATCTAGATATCGATTGATAAAATTCACTGAAATTAATTCATATTGACTGAACTTTTTTCGAAAACATATGCCACGAGATAAACGTATCGGGAATTCAGAACGATTATGAGAACATTATACCTAATCTTGCATTATCGAGTAGCTGTTGGTAATATCACAGTGATTCTTATGATGCCGCTTAAATGATAGACTCTATCGACAAATACACGCTTCCATTGTTTGTATGCTAAATGGGATCCCATTAGCGTCTAAATGGTTCCATCAATGGTGCTTGATTGTTAGAACAACTACTGTGTTCCATTTTTACTCTCAAAATTACGCTCTAGCGAATCTAATTTTGCTGCCATCCACGTAATACGTGATGTTATATCAACAGTTTCTTTATGTCGACAAGTGTAATTTTTTCTGCCAAGATTACCATTTGTTCTCTACGTCGATTGTCAATATTGCGATACCGCTGAGTTTAGTGAACTACTGTTAAGAGTTTCTGCTAACGTTGCCTTTTCTTTTCATTTAGATTCCAGCAGTGCCAATTCAATTTCAGTAAGAAAATGATACAAGAAATAAAGTAATACTTTGCAATTTTTTAGTTTCGTTTTATACCTAACTACGAAGTTGAACTAATTTGCAACTAAATTGAGATCTGAAGAATTGGGCTGGAATCGTAAACCAATGGCTGCCTAGTCGATGCGTATAATGTAGATGTGTAATGAAACAGTTGGAAATACACGTGAAAATAAACGATGGACTGTGTGTAACAACACTGTCTAATAAATCTAAATCCGTCCGTGGAGAAGACTTTCCCCAAGCACAAAGGTGACATGGGAGACAGCATTCCCTTTAGAATTTTCATGCCGTGTTGTTTCTTCCAGAAAAAGAACTGTCGACCATGGCAATTGTCGACGAAGGAGTCGTGACGGTTTTCGGAAATAGCGAGGTTCAATAATAACCCTGATGCAGGAGGTGAACCCGTACCGAGAACCATGCGGGAGGCGAGAAAACCAGAATAAATTTAACACGTTACGTCGTGCGTGGAAATAATTATTGCCTCTATTAATACGTGTTTCGAATTCCGATATGCTCGGATAACATCGATGGCGCCATCCACTGATCCTATTTTTATTTCTGATTGTTCCTTTGGAAGAAACTATTTAACATTCTGGAAAATATTACTATTTATACATTATACAATTTACAATTAGTATGAATCCAAATGTTAATTAATGTTTAATATTTTAGACAGTATTTTCAACTTATTTCTTAACAGGGTAGTCACGATGGCACCACCCATTAGTTTTTACTCCTGAATGATATATTTAAAATTCTTTTTCTGAATTGTCATAAATTTCTCTCTGAAAAATATAAGTTCTTGCAATACTAGAAAACTGACAAACGCAATTTCCTGCAAAGCAGGTACTCATTTAATTTCCAATCAGACATTTCCATACAGGTACACCCGGTATAGATGTGATACCTGCGAGTTGAAACCTGCACAACCGGCAAGGTCGAAGAATCTAACCAGCCATCGTCGAGAATGGAGGAGAAAGACTTATTTTTTCAGCTTCGAGATTGCGAAAAAAAGGAGCGAACACGAAGAAATAAGAACATCCACTACATAATGGTACCGATAAAATAAAAATTGCACTTGCACTAATCGTGATAAAGACTTCATTTTATTTTAGTCTACTCCATTACAATATTTCATTCATCGATTCATTTTGTACTCCAAAAGCTAGAGCAAAGAAATGAAAAGAAAGTGAAAATAGAGTACAAGTTTAGAATTACTTAAAACAAGTGCTTCAAAACAAGGAAAATTGCTTTCCGACATGAATCTAAATGCAGGGTTGATAAGTTGGTTTTCTGGCAGTAAACTTGGTGAATTACGTTTAATTGGCACGATAATAATTTCGTGACACGGCTACGTAAATTAGTGAGGCGTGCACCATTAGGAGGGATTCCAAACAATCGAAAGGAAGACGGACGACGAATTAATTAAAACAAAGAGGGACCAATTAAGCCCCCGCGGCGAGCAACGATCTCGCGTTACGCAAGTTCCGTAATATCGTCAAAATGAAACGATGCTTTCTCTTGGGAAACTGAACGCAACAGCGATGGAAAATGATATTACCGAAAGCATCGGTTATGTAAAAGTCGAAAGTTCGACGGATACTATCGATCGATGCAATGATTTAAATAAATTTCGAATTTTTAAATAGGGAAAAAGATTGGAAATTAAAATATTTAAATCCAACGCGTTGGCATTCGAATTTTTGAATTAAGGCATTGAAATTTAAATATTCTGGTGATTTACATTTAAACGTTTAGTTTGTTACTGAACAACTTCGAATGACTAGAGTCATTGAGCTTCGTTGCGTAGATAAACTATATTGCTAATTTCTTATATTCGAACGTGTACAAGCAAAAATTCCTAAGTTTATATTTCACTTCGAAACACGTAGCAGAGTCTGAAAGAAATTAGTCGATTTCAAACGATATATGAATGAAGATGATGATGATGAAAACACGTCTTTAAAAATATTGATCATCTAATTGAAAATCAGAAGCTATTATTCTATTAATAGCTACTTACAAATCAATCAAGCACCAATAAAATTAAAAATCAATATCGATCGATTGTAGTTTTCGTAAATGTTTAACAAGATTGGAACAACGTATAGAAAGGGGTAGATTACTATATCCAAAGAAAGTTATATTTCCAGATAATCGTTCAATTGCTTGAATAATAAATGAAGATTCTCTGAGTGGCGACGAACAGGCAAATGGAAATGGATTCGAGCGTCTGGCTGATGTCCTTTATTCCAAGAAACACCATAAACGCTTGAATTAGAATACCGACATGGAGCATCGCGAAGCTGACATCACTTGGTGGTAGTCTCTCACCATGGTGCTGTTACAGCGGTTACAAGTCGATGTGACGTCACGGCGAAATAACGGACACGATCTTCGCGTACGTTCCACTTACTCCCGAGGACGACTATCATCCTCGCGTTGCACGGCCCTGCAAAGAATTTTCTAACCAGGTCCCGTCGTGTGAAAATTCTCTAGAAATGAGCAGAATCGTTCTAATGCTGGGAATTGAAGAACGAAATTGGATTCCTTCACTTGATTTATGCATCTTCATGTTGTTAATTATTTCAATAGCTTTTAATAAATCTTTTGTATATTCTCAGATCCTTACAATTCTGGAAACTCATAATCAGCATTTTGAATTATTTCAATAGTTCTCTATGAAACTTTATACTTATTGTGGATGTTGTCTTCTCGTTTCAAGGGAATTTAGAAAAAAAGATATGTATAAATACCTGAAAAGAAACTTGGCAAGAGTAACTATATTGCAGGTATTTTTCAAAATGCGAAGAGATTTTAAAAAGTCGAAAATACCGTGGAAGTCGAGAATAATGGTTTTGTTTCTTGGAATATCAAAGAACCAATCACATCGGGCAAAAACTTGCAGTATTTTGCTGAAACGGAAAGCAGTTTGACAGGAATGTCCAGTATTAAAAAGAAATCCTCTCATATTAGTGATGCATGAATGCGATGGTTCGAATCCAACGGCCGAATCTCATTTATTTCATCAGCATGAAACCACACGACCTTGACAATCTGATGAGATAATCTCCTAAATTTCTGCACTCACTGCTCCGCCGTTCTGAAACCGCGAAGAATTTTGTCTACTTTTTCTTCTACAAGAAAAACTTTTAATTTCAATAAAAAAAAAGTTAAATTTGTAATAAATTAATTTCTTTAACTTGAAGAGATGAAATTTCTTTTGAAGAATGAAAGGAAAGACTGAAGAGAATGAAAGGAAACATCTTAGAAACTTTAATAACTAGAGAACTAATAGAGAACGTGCATAAGTTTAATAATTACGGGTCATCCGGTTGATTTCAAGTTCCCCGTTGCTATTTGCAGGTCAATCACGCGGACCAAAGGAAGAGACAGGCTGATCGCGTGCGAAAGGAAAACTTCCTGTCGGTCTGGGCTCGGCCGTACACCGTGAACTTCGAATCCCATAAATTAACGGTCGTGGGATGGCATTCTACGATTTCCGAGTAATCCTCGTGACCCGTGAATTTCACATGAAGTCATGCTCCGTTTTTCAGGAACGTCCTTCGTTCTAGTTACCATTCTCTTGGATTTAACTTGCTTCACACATCTCTTTTCACGGATACAAGGTGTGCCTTTTTGTGCATTTCAGTTTTCAGTAAAACTTATTGTTTGTAGAAACTATTATTAAAGTTGTTAGCTCACTTTTATTGGCCATTATTGATTAATTTTTAATTTAAATGACAATAGTATTAGATGATAAATTGTTACAAACTAATACGAATTTTTGCGAAGAAAATATAGATAAGATGATGTACCATTTACAAAATCAAATACTGTTTCCGTTTCGTTGAAACGAAATTTTTGTTTTTAATTTCAATAAATTAAAAAATCAAACAATCTTCATCATTTCATTGGAGGACAGAATAGAAGAAGATATTAATTAAAATAAAATATTCAGTTTGATTATTGAGCGATTTGAGCAAAAGCGAATTCCTATTTGTTTCCAAGATGCTTTAGCATGAATCAGACACACAATAGCTACAATTAAGATCAGACTCACTGGTTTCTTCGCTGAAGCGAGAAAAGAGAAAAGTTTCATTTCTCCTGCTAGATACTTTTCTTGGCGCTAGAAAAATAGAACATTCGTCTCTTTGTTTCCATAGCTTTCTGAACAGACGTCGAGTTGTAACGTGGGATTTAAGAACTCCACGAGTTCACGACCCATGAATAAGCACAACTAGAATTTTAACGAGGCCATTTCAATTTCAAACGGAGAGGTCCCGATAGTTGCACTCTTCCTTTAGTATAATTCACTAGAAGAAAAAAAAAACATAATTCTATTCAAATCATCGAAATGATTTTCCTTACAGAAAACAATAACATTTGAATATAATACTGTGATAAAGAAACAAATCAAACTCATGATATGATTCCGGAATTTCTTTCAAGATTATCGTTTGACTATAAATTAATAATTGTTTTTGACATTATCAAACCAAGTCTATTTTTGTCAATTTCTTAACTTTTAAATACAGTAAATTTTCATTAATTTATCAATTAAAATTTCATTAATTTATCAATACCATTTTCTTTTTATTTTATATTTTAATATTTTACAACGCCATGTTTTTCCGTGTGTTTTATTAAACGTAATTCTCTGTAATAAGATACGATAAAGCTAACCGCAATTCACGTTTTAATACTGTATATAGGTCAATGTACATATATGACATTTTGCCACAGTATGACAAATTCATTTATCTTGAGATTTAATCTTATCAGTCATTCTTGTTGCAAGCTTGTCAAATATTCTATAGTATAAGTGTAAATCTTTAACAAACTTCCTTCTAATAAATTAATAAACACCCAGTTTCCTGTGTGTGCTCCAAAGATATAATTATTACATTTGATATTGTTTTTAAGAATGTTCAAATGATAGGATTCCAAGTAAAAAATGCTACCGATAGCCTTTTGTATGACGAGCACGTCTTTCTCGTATCTTATGGGGTCATAGAAATTTACAAATTTTTAAATTTCAAATGTTATGTGATTCATCCTAGCTCTGTGATTACACTCCAGAGATCACTTCATTTTTCCAAATAATCTCGACAACTGAAACAAACATGTCTAGATATGTATTCTTTGCATTAAAATGCAGTCTCGTTGGAGATGTCAAAGGCCGTTCCGATCGTTACGTAAATAAGCTAACAAGATAATAATTGCTATTAATCTATTGGCTACTGGCAATTATTTATCATCGAGTTTTCATTATCAATGTCTAGAAGAACCACAGATCATTGAAGAGAGTTTAAAGATTTCCTTTATCCTAATATTCTACTTTTCTAATTTTATGCTATTTTTAGTTATATAGAAATTTTTTTTAAAATTTGTTTTAAGACACTTTGTATAAGTATCTATTCTATGTATTATTTAATCTATATTTCTTTAAAGATTCTAAATCACAATTCAAATTACTATATACTTCAATTTCATTTTTTAACCACACGTGTAATTATACACTTCCACGATATACTAATCTACAATCTATATTTTCATAATATGTACTAACGATCCTCAACAGTAACTGCTTTACAAGGCTGTCTTCACCTTGTATAACGGTGAAAGATCATTGCGCGGTTATATTTAAAAAGGTGCATTCATTGTGCCCAATTAGAGAGATAAAAACATTACGGAACACCTTGGTAACAATACGAAAGAGATGGTTGAAAAGTACCCGGAAAAGAACGCAATGGTCGCACTCGAGGAGCCCCTGTTAAACATAATTTCCATCGCGATCCGCCAACTGTCTCGTACGCTTATTTTCTGTAGGCATGTAGAATCGCAAAGAAAGAGAGAAGGAGAGAGAAGAAAGAACGTTCATTACAATGGAATGCGAGGAGGGAACAATACTTGAAGGAACAAACACCATAGCAACTTCCGGCCGTGACGAAGGCGGTGGCCTCCATGGGAAGAAAGGCGGAGGCCTGCTTTTAAATTAACACGCGGTAATTACAGCGACTTGTAAGCATTCGCGTTATCTCGCATTCCTGAACAAGAGTCAGGAGTCAGTCTCCACGCGTAGCTTAATAAGAGCTGATTGGAAGAAGCTGCTTAACTCACATGAGACTAATTTAGTAACATTTTAAGGAATTAAAGAATCAAGGCCGATTATTTCAACAGAAGAAGCAAACGACCGGTCAATGTCGTTAGTCAGTAACTTTTTGAACAATTGTTAAATCTTATAAAGATAATCTTCTATGTTTTTTTGATATCTTTTTTTTTAAATAAGAAATATGAATAATAATCTTCTAAGTCTAGTAGAAAATTCTATTAAGCTTAGTAACAAATAAATAAATGTTTTATCTTTAATTTCTTCATTTGTATCTGATGAAAGTAAAAAAAACGATGCTTTGAATTACTCCAATTTGGCATACAAATTGTGAAGCAATTACATTTGTAATTAATTAAACAGTTGAGTAAATGCAGAGTGACGGTAGTTCTCACTACAATCAGTTCTTTCTTTTAAATACTCCCCTTGAAATTTCCTCACATTCTAAAACAAGAGTTGATAATTATCCCTAGCAGAACGTGAACATAAAAGCAACAAAGAAATTCTTGTAACGTTTACATATTACGATAATGCGCTTCGTTAATCTGTTTCAATGATCCATGGGTCAGAGAACGAGAGATAACTGAAATGATGACACAATTGTCTCTACGTGTGCGTACTATTTCCTGAAGATTGTTCGTTCGCGACACTTCCTGCCACGATTTCCTGTATTGTCATCATTTTCTAATTCTCGGAATTTCACAGTAGTCTGATTAAGCTCATTGTCACGTAGATTATTACTGAAAGTAATTTTGTTGTTAGTGTCCCTCATATTATTTCAATTTCATTGAATTTTCTTTGTTAAATGAATTTTAAAAACGTAATTTCTAGTATTAAGGTTTTGAATCTATAAATTTATATCATTTATAATCTTGAAATCATTTAAACCAATTACTAAATTATCTAATTGTTATGTATGAAGTACAATTTAATTTTTAATATTTGCGACATGTATTTGACCCTACTACCACTTACATCTGGACTGAACACAACATTGCATTGGAAATATGTTAATAGATGTCTGGATATTTCCTGAGACCTTATGGATGCATCGGGTTAAGTGCTAAGGTTGCCAGCTAGTGCACGCGTACGTATAGTCGTACATATATCTTCTACTGAACTTTTTGTTTTACATCATTATCCTCTTAACCTATTCTCGATTCTCAATCGAATGGCATATGCTTTAAGTAAATTATGTGTAACCTTATTTTGTCTGATATCATTTAGCTTTTTATATGAAGTGGTGATAACATCAAAAGTGTTACAATCCGCAAATTCAATTAAATCCTTCATCTTATTTAAAAAATTAAAAACTAAGAATATATCAATTCCGCCAATCTTTTAAAATTGTAATTTTGATTCGATAGCCCTTCAAAATCTACTAAATACTAAATACCAAACTTATAAACTTAATATGGCAGAATAATGATAAATGGTTGATATTGACACGTCCTGTTTTAATTATGCATTGTTAGTGAAGATAACAATTTTCCCAATTTGTTAATGGGTCAAAATAATCGAAGTGATTTTTCCAGCGTTAAGAATAACGATCCAGGAGCGGATTAACGAATCAAGTTGCATCGATACATAGAGCGCTCGAAATGCGCGAGAACGGAAAGCGGAGCCGATGCCACGAAGGTGCACGAAGGAGGCCGAGCGGGTTCGGAAGCAGCCGAGGCCATCTGTTACGCTCGGTTCCCACGCTTCCGCCGTCGCCTTTCCCCGCCTTTGGACCAGTCCTCATCGGTCCTTTTCTTGTCCCCACCTTCATCAGCACTGCCGGCTCTCTCGTCGTCGCTTTATTTTATATAGCTGGAGAATGCTTGGACGTCTTTAACCGCGACTCCGCATTTTCTGTTACGAGATTGAACTTTTGTCCCTTACCGGAGGATTTCTACTTGTTGCCAATTTCCGTTCGGCTCGGCGGCGTTAAGTAAAAGTTACACGAGAGTCGATCTTCTAAAAATCGGACGGTCCAAAGTTTTTTTTTTTTATCTCTTTCGATTCCACTTTGTACGTGTCATAACAAAAACAAATGTTTCAAGATGTTTCCTCGCATATTTCAGTGCCTCGCATTCGTCTGGAATAAAGTGATTTTTCACAGTAAAAAGTCATGTTCTCTCAGTCTTGACCTTATTTCTTTAACAGTTACTCAAATAAGCGTCACCTGTTCGATTAGCTGTACTATTGTCGCATAACGTTACGTACAATTTCTATTTGACGATTTTAACTTTGAAAGAGTGATATTGATTAAGTTAATCATTCGAATTAAATTAATCTTATCGGATGGAAATTATATTCTCTGGATCAGGAGCATATCTCGATGTTATAAGGAAAAGATTAAGTACGTTATGTTACTTCAGATTTCCCTGAATGTGCATGTTTCCATGAAAGCAGTTGGATAAATTCAGCCGGGCGGCTTCGCTTTCTCCAGTTTGTTCATCAAGTCGTTTGCGAAACTGGTCCATGTACAAGCAACTAGCAGAACCCAGTAAAACCCAGAAAGGGGTCGTTTTTCTACTAGAAGAAAACCAGGTACAGATCTTCCTTTCTAATCTAATTCCGCCGTTACAGTTAACAAATATCCCACGATAAATGCAAACGTTTTGATAAATATTACATTAATATTTTGATAAACAATACAGCTGATATGGCTAGGTACATACATACATTATCTTGCTAAAGAAAAGAAAAGTCGTTTTCAACGTGGGGCACGTGCCGTCTGCAGTCGCGCCGCCATTGTCATCTTCCCAGAGGCTGTGTTTACACAAACGAATTCCCCCAATCGCCTCCCCCATGGAAAGTTGGCACTCTCAACTACCAGCCGCTGCGTACAGAATGATTTCGTACAAAGGGAATCGTAAACGGCGCGCACGTGTGTTGGTATCGTCGAGGGGGCTGGAACGATTAAACCAACCGCAAAAAGAGACGGATTCGATTCCTTAAATACATGATCGATACGATAGGGGTTGCAACCACGTTGACAATGTAGAGTGACCTCCAGCGACCCCTTGTTTACCCATGAATAAATTCCATTTATTTCGTCACACAAAAATAGAAGGGCAAAAGGCCAAGAACAGAGCCAATACATCAAATACTTGAACAAAAATGATTCTGAATCGCTTACGAAAATAATTGAACAGTTAAATAAACCTATTGTGTATATTACACGAAACATTTTATGTGACGAAATATTTTTATGTGAGCTACGAAATATTCAGAGCAAATACAAAAGTTCCTGGTAATTTTAAACTGACTCATCCAATAATCTAAAGAACATAAGGGGTGACAATCATATCGTGGTATGTAATCGATAATAAAGGGACGACCGACCCTGTGAACGAAACCACGTCCGGAAAGGCTGCACGATGAACAATTTGAAAGCGTGTTGCTAGCTGTCGTGGCATAAATCAGCCGCTCTGTCGGCATGATTAGAAACTCTTCGGAAAATATGCGGCGAGCAGTCAAGAGAACGGCGTGGTTTCGGTTCTGTTGAAACATCTAGCTATTGCTCATGGCAACCGCGACCTTTTCTTTAGGTTATACGACTATCCCAACCAGGGAACACTGTATTACTATAGAATGATGTTACATAATTTGAATCAATTTTTAGAGTGTGTTGATAATATAATCACGTGGCAATATGGTAACTTGCTATACACAGTATATCGTTCACTATTTTGTATGTTAATTCATGTAAAAAATATTGCTTTCTCAACTCCAATCACATATAATGTCATATAGTTCCTTTAAAATCCTTATGTGTTTGATATAATTAAATTCTTGTATATTATACATATATAATATAATTTAAAAAAAGAGTATTGGATCGCGTAGACTTATGTGCGGTTTCATTTAAAAGACATTTCAATTAAATAGTTAGAGCATATTTCTAGAAAATAATCAAGGTACCAACAAAGGCGTCGGTTTACTTTAGAATTAATTGTACAAATGCATTCGAGAAACGAGTACGAAAATCACCCCTCTTGCTTTCGGTATTCAAGATTTAATGTGTTTTGTTCTGTGGCAGGAGTGCTCATGGTTCGATGGCCACGAACGCGTGTATTTACTTCGATAAGGGAACTAACATGCAACATGGGCGCATATGCAGAAAACGGAGCCGTGCCAACAACGCTGGCAACGATATAAAATCATGAATGGTGCTGTTGTAAACGATATCGAAACGCAACCCTCTGTTTCCGTTTTATCCAATAATAGATTTCCTCCATTCTGCGGTTTCCCTTTATTCGCATGAAGATTATGTTACACGGTTCTTCGACACGGTTATGAAGTTGAATGTAACGAAAGATATAAACTTAATTTAAACAGAATGAAAAAATTATTAGGCTACTTTCTCAAACAATCGAAGACTAATATATTTTTACGGTAATGCCTATTTCCACAGATCGAAGACAAATTTTAATTAAGGCTGGTTTACATTATCCGTATAATTATTTAAAGTTTCTTTGTAACAGAGTACCAAACAGGCAGTCAAAAGTAAATAATCACGCGGGCCACTAGTTGCAAATACAAATGCATGGGGAACTGAAATGCATAACCAGCGATTAACCGTGCCTGCTTGAAGCCTATAGCAACAGACCGTTATCTGAAACACGTATGACGATAAACTTGAAACTCTGATCCAGTATATTCAAGGAATGGCCTGCGTAGAAGTAAGCATACCTTGGATAGTTTGCAAATTAAACGACATATGAAAACACAGTTTTATGTTCCCTCGAGAAGATTTTCTAAATCACCCTACAAAAATTGAAATGTCACTGAGTCACAAGCATGTTTACATACACAGTTACTCACGAAATTGTTCGAACAATTATAAACGTGAATTTTTATTGCATATGTTAATAAAATTGAAAAGAGTCAGAGAAATCTTCGAATTCATTTTTAATGCTGTTAAAGACAATTGTTATTTCAGAATGCGATACTCCAAAATGTTTTACATAATGTGAACACAAGGATCTACAGTTTCACGAGCCATTATGAGTAAAATACAAAATACAGCATAATGCACCTGCTATTTTTCACCTGTCCTTGCGAGCTTTTCGATTACAATTGTTACAAGGTTAAGCTTCCAAAGCGTTATCAACCGTGGCAAGCAATGTTAAAAACAAAAGAAAAGAGATGTGATCTAACCTCGTCGGTAATAATCGGCGCCTTGTCCATGTTGTCGTTGATCGGGCTGGGTGGCGACGTGGGGCTAGCACTGGGGCTCACATGAAACCCCTTCGACTCCTTGGCAGGCCTCTGGGGGGACACCCTCGCGGGGAAGCTCAAGGTTTTCGTCCACTGTGGCAGACCACGCACCATCTTTTTCTCTTTCGTTTTTTTCTTTCGTCCAAAATTTCACCGATACAATAATACTAATATGTATCCTTAACTGAGCGAGTTCAATGCGCGTTTAAAAAAAAACAGATGAAACACACGAAATAACAACGCGGGAAATCGATGTTAAATAATTTGCACCAACGCGAATCTCAGTCCTCGCGATCTTCGATGAAAAGTTTACCTCCAAGCGTTAACCGATCGCTTGTAAATATTAATAACTGTATCGAGAGATTGGCTGGCGTGTATCCGTGTCGTGACACGCACGGAAACGATTTGCTAGCACACGCGCCAGCCAACGCACGCCACGGAGTTTACTGGCAGACTGTCGAGTACCGTCCGATCGGTCGGTTCTCTCTGCAGAACAGTCGCGTCATGCCCGCTGGACCAAGCGCGCTGATTGGTAGATCCGATGGAGAGCGACAGACGACGCGCACAGGACGAGGACGGGCACAGTGGAAAACGGCCAATGGGGTGGTTCGTAACGCGAGATGGAACAAAACGAAATCAGCGAGATTCGCGCGAGATGAACCGCGACCGCGATATAATTTTCAAAGGATACGAAACTCTCCTCCGTCGAGGGAGTCCGTTGCCTTCTTGCCTCTTTCTTCGTTCCAGTAAACGAAGGGAAGGCAGAGAACGAGAGAAGCCTGACAAGTATTCAGCGAGACAAGGAGAGAGAGACTGAGAATAGACGGTGAATGAAAGAACGTGTGAAAGAGATTATCGGATATGTGGCACAAGTACAGTTGCCGTTGACTTCACGGGTCGCGGTTTAGAAATCGTTTAAGGTTACCTGGAACGTGGTCCGGATCGGCTCGATAAAATGGCCAGTAAAAATTATTCTTACATTAGAATATCATGTACATGTAAGTGCACATACATACGATAAAATATCGTATTTTTTAATCATCTTTAAACGTTCGTCTTTCCGTAGGAAATTTCAAAGGAACAAGAATTCTCCTAAAACATTTGTAGAAGAATATCAAAAAATATTCTATGCATTGTAAGAATGTATACTATTGGTAAGATAAGTTAGTGTGTTCTCATAAAAAACAAATTACCTGCGTTACAGCACGTAATCTAATAACTAATCAAGATCATATCGATGTAGGATTTAGTAATGTGAAGCCAGGTAGCCGAGGTTTCTATCAAAGCGGTACTTTTACTGGTATCCTTTCAAGAGACAAAGAATTTGTCCGCAGCGATAGCGACCTGTGATCAGTAAAGACACTCGTGTTGCCAACTGCAGATCCGCCAGGATGGTGGGGAGGGAAACGACACTGTAAGGCCCGACTGGCAAGGCATGTTTCTTACATTCAGCCGCGTTCAGCTGTATGTACGCGGACAGGATCTAGCCAGCTGCGGCCTTCTTCGACCTTCCCCCCACCAGGTCGGAATCGAGCCTTCTGGCCAGCTACACGACCGGTACTTCAACGTTCTAACAAGAAATATCCGCGAAGACTCCACCTTCGATCTTCGTGAAGCACTATCTCGCCAGGACAGTCAAAAACGGGTACCTTTGGGATATCTTGTCCCTTTGCGCTTTTGTAGACTACTGATAATAGTAAAACGAACGATTAATTTTGTTACGTAGAGTGAAGTTCAAGAATAGAAAAAAAAAAAATAAATAAATAAATTGTGGAAAAGATAATGTATACAGTTAGTAAGATCTTTTTGGGATATAATAATACTAGTGAGATTACTAGTGAATTACTACTTGTTATGTGAAAATAATTGAGAAAGAGTAAGGGTAGTGTTGAAAATGTATCTCATAATTTCATGTGATTATTATTATTATAATCTGATCTTTCTGTTTCAAATTTTTAACATAAAATTAATTAAAAGTGGAGGAATCGTACAGTTCTAAAAAAAAAAATTCTTTTGACCTCTCCCGATAAATATCACCGATATCATAAATTTGTTTCCGAATTCCTAACACATTAGTCATTCTATTCGTCATCGTTTCATGTTTAAGCGACACAACCTCGAATAGTGACTTTACCCTTTTAGTTTGTCACCCGTTATAGTTATTCAGAGAATTCGAGGAACAGACGATTTGAATTTTTCATTCATCGCATAGTTCAAAGTTCATACCATCTGTTCCCATTTTCTCTGAAAATTCCAGCTGACCATCAGATAAATTGTAAGTCTTCTACCCCTTCTCTGCAGGGTGTGTACACTTTAGGGGAGCGATTCCTGTAGAAGCACGTTCTGCTTGAATAGCTTTCAGTCGATGTTAATTAGTTGTGACATATGTTCTCGTGAATATTTCAATTTGATGCTATCGTAAATCCTAACTTCGTGCAATTGTGCTGGGGATCTGTCTAAAAAAATATAATGAATCGTGATTAATTATTATTAAATTAGTAGAATTTTATCCCTCTTAAAATCCGACAAAATTATATTAATGATATAATTTTATGGTACCTCTCTTTTAATGATTAATGATTCTCTTGTTGATAAATTAAATTTATCTTTCAATTTCCTACGAACCTGGTTTCTAGGGATTAATTGAAATAAATTACAAGAATTCCTACTTAAAACCGTCAGACTAACAGCTCATAAATAGCATTGTTCACCTTAGCTGGAAGGCACAACGAGAAAGCATTTGTTCATTTATTGCTCTATTAGGTATACTATCTTTTATCTGAAATTTTTATTTGCAAAGGAAATAAAGTAAGCTAGATACGGTAGAGAACGTTAAATTCTCGATGGCTTGAAATTCGTATGCCAGAGGATTCTTTTATTTAAAATTTACAACAGGTGTGCCATGCCAGGTCGCATTAATTCTCTGGAGACGTACTGTAATTTTACAGGCATATTTTCGACCCTTCTTATTCACCAGGCAGGTGTCTCTCCCCTCTTTTCTCTCTAGATCAAAATCTTTCTTTCTTCGAGGCAAACTTCGTGCAAGTTTCGACGGTTCTCTCTTCGAATTCCCTTTCACAGATTTTTGTTTGCATTTCTAAAACCCTGTCAACTTGAACTCGGCTTCTCTCCCTTTAAAATTCTTAAAGGTAGAACCAAATTATTTTGTCCGTTTAAGAGAAATTTGATAAAACGTTTCCTTTACTTAAGCCGTTTATAAGACGTTCAAGTTTGGAGACATTTTTAAGATATTTGCAAAATCTTATGAGATATTTATAAGATAGCTCTACTATTTGGAAGATGCATGTCTCCAGTAAAGAAAATTACAAAAAATAGAGCACGGAAGGAATAAGAAAGTTTGCAAAAAAGCAAAATATGCTAAGTCAAGCAGATTTCACCACGTTAAAGGTAAAAAAAAAATCACCATTCGAAAATCACAAAATGCGAAAAGTAAAATCGTGGTCGCAGACCGTTGCATTTTCCAACAGCATAATTCAGGCCACTTTGGCGATAGAATATCGCTCACTAATGTAATTGGTGCGTAACGTTTCTCGTGTCAAGGGATCCGATATCCTTAATAACCAGTTTCTTCGATTTCCAAACAGGTCTCCAGATGCTGACTTATTAGAAACGTATGTATGTACCAGCGTGCTGAACCCTAATGGAACCGGAACCTTCAAAAAGGAAACCACCCTCTCATCAACAATCCTCTATCGTCCAATGAAATTAATTGCATCAAAGGAATTAATCAATCACTCAATTGATATCTAAATCAACTAAAATTTAATTGATCACTCAATTGATATCCAAATCAACTAAAATTTAATTGATACAATGCAGCAGTTTTAAAATTTAGAATCCTATCGATTAACAACTACATTTCCATAAATATTATTAAAGAAATTAACAAGTGCAAGCCTCTAGATTACGAAAAATTGTAAAATTACAAAAATTACGGAATAGAAAATTTAGTTTGTTCTAAATATTCCATAGATAAATGTTTCACGTATTTCTGCATACGATATGTATTCTGTAAATTTTCACACTTTCAAACATCATCATGTAAATGCATAGACATTCCTAGTCTATCAACGTTGACGTCGGTCATCGCCTTTCAAAGCGACGAGCAAAATAGAAAGTTGTGAAGCACGACGATGCAACAAACGTTCAGGCCACGATACACCTTCTTAGCGTGGACAAGTTTGAAACTGACAGTCCCATGATTTCTCCATGGACTTCCGTCTATATTGCACGAATATCCTGCAACCGCGATTACATTCGTATATAGCGTATACACGTAAGACTGACACGCGTTCCCCTGACGTTTTAGTCCAGTTTTGCATCCGGCACAGGTAGATACTGGGGAAAGGTCGAGCGGCTGACCTGAATAAGTTGATAGTTACGCAATAATCGTGGTGCACCAGCGGGCTTTTTATGCTAGAAGACTGATCACCGTGCAGTGAGAATAGACTCGAGTCCTGTATAAATTGATCGAAAGATAATCGAGAATGAAACTAGTTTGTATAAAACATGAATAATTCTATTTAAATATAGAATGAGAAAAAGTCACTGTCTCAAGACATGGAAACGTAGAAGAAGGAAAGATTAAGAATACTTAAAAGGATGTTGGGTTTTTGCCTCAGAGATACAGTAAAATAAATTTTTTTTTATTAAAAAATGAGGAATCAATAAAATGATATTAATGCGACAAAAGAATTTTTAATGCTCAATAAAAAAAAGTTTAAAAAAATAGAAAGAATAGAAAATTCTATTGAAGTATTTTATTAAAGTACTGAAATATTGAAGTGTGTTATTAAAGGATTGAAGAATGGAAAATTTTGAAGAATATAAGCACTGATTAATTAATACCTAAAATACAAACGTTGAATGATTCCAGAATACAAGTTCTAGAATATAAGGATTGATTAATAATTCTATATATCTATATAATAAATATTAGGTATAATGAGGTATAAATTTCAATATTTCTACATGTAATAATACTCCTCTAGTAATCATAAAACAAATCATTCATACACTAATCGACATTTCATGCAACAACGCTTTGAAGCACTCGTATATAGGAAAGAAAAAAGAAAAAATTGTCCTTATCCGACGACACTGATCCTCTTTTACCGTGCAACCATCAAATAATAGGAAACCCTTAATACAAATACTCGAAATCGAATATCTCTTCAGAAACTCAATCGTACATTGGACACGCTTTTGAAATAAATTTTTCTTCCGTGTCACGGGAGGAAAATGAAATCAATGAATGTGATAGTCGATCGATATTGTACGTGACAGATCGCGCATAAGGTAGATCCACTCGCTACGAAGAGGGAACAAAGAAGGATTTTTCGAGGCGCCGATACCTAGCAGCACCTGGAGGAGAGGGACCATTCGGAAGATAGGAACGGACCGACGAATAATATTGGGAAGTGTGCAGCTGTCACAGCAGCTGCAACCCTCCTCCCTTTTGCTCACAATTTGACCGCCAGCTTTTCTGCCGCCTCCTCCTCCTCCTCCTCCTCTGCCGCCTTCTCCTCTTGTTTGCCATCATCTCATTCTCATGGCCTAACTCTTGCCTCGTGTTTTCATTTCGATTCTCTTCGAAAACTATCGTTCTTAATAATCCTTTGAATCGTGAATTTTCTGGAGGAAATTTCAATAGAACATTTTTTTCATTCTTGGTTTGGTTATGAGTTTCAGGTTGAATTCATTTGTAAAATGTAAACTCTGTCTTTAATTGATATCCAACTTTTTTTTTTGGTAAAGCCCTTTCATTTTACTATTTCAAAATTATTCTGTATTATTCTACTCTGTTAGTTAAGTATTACTCTTGAGAGTACTGAAGTAGCTTTTAATAAAGATGAATTAAGAAGCTATTCAATAAAATAACAAATCAAACACTGTTTCTAAACATCAAAACATTAATGTTTCATTTGTTGTAAATTAACGAAGGAAAGTTAACAAAATCACTTTGCTTAACTCTCTATTTCCATAATCAAACGACAGACGGAAAAATGGAAAATAAAATGAATCACAACACTTCGATGATAAACGATCACGATGTTCTCACAAATGATTGCTTGAGAAAGGAAGAAAACTAAAAATAGGGAGAGCTGCTCGTTCCCCGTGTCGAATAAGCATCCCTTGAAAACGTGAAATGAGAGCGTGCATCGAGAAAATGAATGTGCCCTCAGCACAGTTAATAGACTGGTTGTTCAAAGGGGGCCCCCCCTTTCGTTTCCGCGCGAACATGTGGGTGTATATCTAGGCCAAGCTAGCTCCTTGCGCAAGTATCAACCCCCTATTTTTCAAAGCCAACCACCGAGACCATGCTCCTCGAGGAGGAATGCGCAGCGTGTAGATCAGCTGCTCCTTCTGTAAAGCTAAACTTCCTGTGCCACGTGCACATCTGCTGGTTTTCGAGCACCTGGTAGGGGAAATTTCGTGGTTCTGGATGAGTACAACGTAGTCACGTACTGTGTGTATCCTCAGGGCTCATCGGGACTCCGTGTATAATGGACGACACACAACATAAATATTCTTGTGGTTAATTACAGGTGTACGGAGATTTATCCTTTGTTTCGTGCTCTTGGGTATCTGCTTATGGGGAATGGTATTGTTACGTCATTGGAAGAAAATGTGTGAGAAGGTTTCATTGAGATGTACATACGTACTTAATATTGTTTTTCGTGCGTTGTGATTTATAGGCACCTGTGAATGAGGAATAGATGTTTTGTCACGTAGACGTGTGTTTGAGTGGAATTTTTTATTGTTATTGGAGAACGAAGCTGGATGGTGATAGCTTTATGTTGATGACAGAGTAGGGTTTTGATAGACTGGAAATTTTTGTGCATTTACGTAAATACAAAGATATACAGAAT